GCACGCGAATAAGATAGGCCACGAGAAATGTACGTGAATGCAAGATGCCCCCCCCCAACGCTATGCAACAGCAGGAGAATTTGGCCCAAGGTCAGTAGAACTATCATCCCTCACGTGACCAGCTGTAACATGTCCGCACTCCGGTTTAATACTATTTAAAAAGTATCTTGATAATAAATAGCTCTTTATTATTCATACGCGTATGACCACTTGCTCGGAAAGCAAGTCTTGTATCTTTATAAAGAAGAGTGAGCATCAGATAAGTAGCTAGCAAATTTTCAAACCGAAGTTTATTCTGATTTCACCGAACCTTCGTTTGTTAACATTGAATTTATTCCAATAGATAATACCAATAACGGGCAAACAATAAAAGCACTCTTTGTTGAACACATTCCAGAAACGTGACGTAATACGTGTTATTGGCAGTAGCTCCATGCGCAAGAGTTTCGTCGGCGGAATAGGCTCCGCGCAAGGGGAATACGTCACTCCTGGCTTAGACGTCTGATCTCCAAGTTGCCAATCTTGGCGTTAACAACGAGTAACCAAACCTATTAATAAAATAATAACGCAATAGTACACTCATGGATCTTGCTTCGGAGAAGTGTTAAACCATGCCTTCAGAACCACTAGCAGGGCTCCTAGGGGAGATAAAATTACTGGGATATCGGTTATGACAGATCGAATTATTCTATCGTATGGCCACTTGCTATAAGGGTCTTAAGAGAACTCGCAGGAAGTCAAACATGCAACACGGGTAATACTTGGCCAGACACTCGATATCAAGGCGGAGTTTGAGTGAGACCTTGTAACCTGTGGCTGGCGCAAGCAAGTGGGGAACAAACACCAGATGATGCCGCCAGGAGGATTTCGCAAAAATGAGGGGTAATAGATAAACTCACTGAATATGCAATTTGAAGTATTAATAACCATTACCTAAATAGACACTTTAGAAAGGTCTAAATGCGTCACAGCAAGACACATAATTAGCCAAAATATCCGTTTGACAGCGCGTCATGGATACAAGAACGACATAGTTCGAGAGAACAGCAAAATGCGTTCGTGGTATCAGTGTCGTGTTTTTTCTGCCGTAACACGAAGTAAACAAGCTCATCGACTTTTGAATTTGAAAGGCGGGCCGCGCGTTATATTTTTCGGTACATTTACGGGACTCAAGGCCGGCATTTAAACTAGTATAACGTCTATCGGCCCTGCTATTTTTCACCCGAACCCCGTAACTATACAGATGGCGGTGTCAATCGAACATTTCCCTCTATCCGTCGACCTGCGCAGACGTCAGCGGGTCTTCACACCACATCACATACTTACTCATTAACAGCAAGATTACTGGGATCCCTTCATAGCATTCTTTGTTGAAGGCGGCAGAAATACCAGCCCACCCACGAGTGCGCTAGGGGTTCGAGCGAGAGACCAGAGGCCCCCGCCCGCCGCGCACCGCCCAGCGCGAACACGGCGCACGCACCAGTTCTGACTCGACGGGCGTACCATGCTTCAAAGAGTGAGTGAAAATTGTAAGCAAGATCTAAATCGTGTATGTAGGTTACTCATTTATTCGTCATTGTAACTACTTAAAGTCTATTAGGCGCGAACAAAATAAGACATGTTTTCGGGTCGTAACTCCT